CTTGGACAAGTGTCTCTCCCCATTTCTGGGCTCCAGTTTCTTGCCCTCCAATGAGCGGCGTGGATGGGGAGCTCTGCGGACCTCTTGGTGGTACCTTGTTCATGATTGTGTCCCCAGCAGAGCCTCCCCCGGGTCTGGAACATGAGAATATTGGTCACATGTTCAATCGGCGCTCATGGAGAGCGGACCAGGGCTGGGGGCTTTGCAGTGGGTCCAGCTTCAGGGAAGAAAGCGAGCACTCAGCCTAAGGGGCACTCAGGATGGGCTCAGTGGATTCTGAGCTTCCATCGGGTTGACGAGGGGAGGTGGATGAGAAAGGCGTTTGGACCCATCCGTGCCCATGCTGAGCCTCACCAAGGCCAGCGCAGCCCCCAGCACCTGCACCGCCTGTCCACCGTGCCCAGCCCGGGGGTGCTCTGCAGAGAGGCTTTTTCCTTCGGCTTTTCCATGTTGCGCCCATCTCTGGTCCATGGGGTCATGGTATGTTCTGGTCTCCAAGGTGGGTGCTGCCTGGTCTCTTTTCACACCTGCCTGGAGAACAGCTGCCCTCCTGGGGCTCCAGGTGTTTCTGGTGCCTTTTCAGAACGCTCCTGTCAGGGCAGTGGGAAGCTCCCCTGTGTGTCAGCCATCATATCTGCTGCAGGGAGGAAGAGCAGCAGGAAAGAGCACAGAGAATGACTTGCGTTTCCTCTGCGTGCAGCGCATTAGGTGTAAGTCTGTATTCATCTCATTTTCCCCCCGTAAAGCCCCTGCACATCAATCACTTGAGGTCCCCAAAACACCCCCCTTATTCACTGTTTAGACAGAGGGTTGTGAAGAAGCTGAGCAAGAAGGCCTCTAGTGACTGGTCACTGGGCATTTTATCTATGTTCGGGCTGGTAAAGGTGATGTGAGCACCGGAAAACTAATGCAGCCTTAGGCTCTAACAACAGAGGTAGCAGCCCTGGAGCAGGGGGAAGACGTCTCATCCCTACTCTGTGATGGTCAGGCAGTGCTGGAACTGTAGTCGGTGTCCATGCATCCATCCATCCATCCATCCATCCATCCATCCATCCATCCATCCATTGAGAGGCAGGGTAGCATGATGGTGCAGAATGCACCTCCGGATACTGCCGTAGGGTCTACCAAATGTCCACTGTCCTCTGTAATTGTCAGTCATTTTGCTACGGATGTGTGTGATCTTAGGCAACCTCTTTCTGGGCCTCGATTTTTTCAGACCCTGGGGATAGTAACACCTACGTGTCTGTGAAGGTCACGCACAGCTGGCGAATTGCCAAGTCCAGGTGGACACCCATTGGCAGATTTGTGACTTTGGACTCAGAGGGATATGGTGCTGGGACAGTTTCAGTGTTCATAGGTGGATGTCCCCCTGCTTCCAAGCCATGGAGCAGACAGTATTTGAGGCTGTCACCCCAGCAGGTATGGCTCATGTGCAGGAGCTGGGCCTCGTGCCCCATCCACATTTTCCTGAAAGGGAAGAAGCATCAGTCATCCCCCGCTAAGATGACAAGAGGGGAGAGCTGACAGCTTCCGCGCCCCGCCCAATCCCCAGTAGTCGGGAGCTGCAGAAATAAAGGAGACTGTACAGTTGGAGTAATTTGCTAATTTGCTTAAGTAACACCCCCAGTCAAAGACATGACAGATACACGGGCGCGGGCTCCGCACCTCCAGCTTGGGCAGCAGGATGGATGGGCGATGTGAAGTGGAAACCCGGTGAATCAGAGCCCGAAGGCAGTGATGGTGGCTACCCCGAACCCAAGCCGTCGGGCTCTGGCTGCCTCTCTGCTGCAGTGTGTCTGGGGAGGGGCTGAGTGAGGGGGTCACACACTGGCTCTGGGTCTGCTGGCCTTAGAGGAGTCTGTGGCGCGGTCCAGAGGTATGGGGTCAGCGGGACCAGTGTCCCCCTCTGCAGCCGTGGGGCCTGGGCGGCTTTCCCAGCCTTTGAGCTTCATTCTACTCGGCTGCAAAGAGGAGAAAATAGAACCAAGTACCTTGGGGGTGCTCTAGGGAAAGGAGAGCTTGGCTCTCCACCAGGGGTCCGGACGTGGCCATCTTTCCTGCTGTGTCCTCCCGGCCCACTGCCAGCTGCTCGGGCCCACGCAGCCCTCTGCTCTCCTCTCCGCAGCCTGAGCCTCACTGGAGAGGGCTTCTCCGCTCTGTGCCTGGTCACACTGTGGGGCCGTGGGCGGCTTCACTTGCCAGACTTCTGCTGGGGCCTGCTAGGGACAGAGCTGGGGGAAGCAAACACGCCGGCTTCCGTGTTCTTAGAACTCTCCCAGGAGCACAGCAAGCGGAGTTCCTAGCTCCCCTGAGCCAGGGTGGGCTCTGGTGAGCAAGAGGAGGGCGGAGGGAGGTGGAGGAGACTTGGAGAATCTCATCCCAGCAGCCTGACTGGAAGCTCCCTGGCCAGGCTGTTCCTTCACGTCACCGGGAACATAAAGCAGAATGCCTGTTACGGGTGGATGGTACTTTCAAATGAATGAAGGAGACTAGGTGTGAGACAATAGGGACAGGGGGGGACTGGGGCCAGCTGGACGCATTCATCCTGTTCAAGGGGACACGGACACTCAGTGCTTCCTGACTGGAAAGGGATGCCAGAAATAAGTAAGTTGTATTTATTTCCGTATTTTGAGGAAACAGAAGTAATGAAGTGTTATTAGCAATCTCTCACATTTTTAGTGTTGGCAACAAACTCACGTTTTTAAAAAAAGTTGTGCCAAACACATATGTCTGTGGGTGGGTCTGGCCTGCCTGCTTCCAGTTTGCAAACTCTGGCCCAGGGAAGCTCTTTGGTTTTTTTTGAACGTCAAAAGTTTCGTACATTGCCATTTATTATCTTCTATAATAGCAGAAGAGTGCTGCAAGGTAGCTGTTACCTTTCTCATTTTATAGGTGAGGAAACTGAGGCACGGAGAAGCTAAGCTGTACAGCTGGTTCGTGGCAGAGTGGGTCTGGGATCCAGGCTGCTGGCGCTGAGATGCTGTGGCCTGCTATGTACTGGTGGCCCCTGCCCCGAAGTTGGTAAATCCCGAAGAAAGAGCAGCACTTTCTCAAATCTGTAAAGCAGTCTGGGGTGGCTGGTGAGTCAGCCAGGAGTAGGTTGTGAGTTTCTACCAGTTTTGCAGAAAACGTCTGTCTCACCTTGGCGTTCCCTTTCTCAGTGCCCTGGCCCACCCTCCCTGGCCAGGCTGGGAACTGGCCATTTGCCGTGGCCATAGGGCACGTGGTCGGACAGACAGAGCCAGTCTCATCTAGATGAGGGTGGAGAAGACGCTTATAGCGGGGCTCTGGCCTCTTCTGTTTCATTGCAATGAGGGTATAATAGTGGCTGTAGTTACGGGACGTGCACTGCCATGAACCTCGCTCTGCCCTTCCCTGGAGCTCACATAAGGGCTGGGAAGAGAAGCTTCCTGGGAGCTGAGTGTGATGGCACATCATGCGAGTCTCAGCCCATATTGTGAGCATCCATCTCCAATAAGAAAAACAATCCTTCGTATCTGGAGCAGAGGCATTTCTGGAACTCGCTTCCCCATGGAATGCTCACACAGCGGGAGAGGTAGCGTTCTCGGTCATGGTAGAAAAGGCTCTGCTGTTCCTGGGCTGCTGTGTTATCCCAAGAGACAGACCTCGGTGCCCATGCTGCTGGCCGTGGCCCCGGCCGGGGGGTGGGGGCAGGGAGGAGTGAAGGGGACGTCGGGGAAGGGGCTCAGTGGAGCCGGCGGCCAGAGACGTGCTTGGCACCTTGCCTTGTGAGTGACTTAGGGGAGGTCAGGGTCCCTCAGGGATAGAGGGGATGCCTCGTGAGGTACGCGTCTTTGTGAGCCATGGTTACTGCTTTGTGAACTGGTTATGGAATGTCACCCTTTTCCTGTCCGGGCCCCCATCTCTCCGAGGTCCCTACGCTGTGCCGGCACCTTCACACACCACGTGCTTGACCCATCTGGGCGCTCTCCAGGGCACTCTCCCCTCCAGGAGGGGCCGGGAGAAAGGCTTGGGCCTCCAAGTGCGTGTTTTATCCACATCAGGGCTCCCAGGTACCATCTTGACACTCCAGGCCCATGAGAGCCTGGCGGCTGAGGCTGGGGGAGAGTGGGGAGTCAGGGGCCTGAGCCTGGGGTCAGGCTGGCTCTCAGACGGGGTGGGGGCCAGGGAGTGGCATTTACTATGACCAAGGAGCCACGGTGGTCTTGTGCCTGCATAGAGCCAGCTTGGTGGGTGGGGTCTGCCGGGCAGCTGTCGAGAAACCGGCCCCCGGCCAGTCTCCTGGGCGGCAGTGCACGCTCCTGCCTAGGGAATCCGTAAAACTGGACCCCAGAGAGAAAAAGATGTGTCCCTTGGAAGAACTGCCCAAAAGTGTGCACACAGCAAAATGAGAACAACGCTCTCGTAGTTCTGTGTGCTGCATCCATTGGCATTTTTGTTTTGGCTTTGAATTTCCACAGCAGTCGGGGTGGGCACTGTAATTTTTCCCGAGTGTGGGGTCTCCAGACATTGGAACTGGCCTCTGCAAAGACCTTGCAATTCCGTTTGGAATGTGGAGGAAAAAGGGTCCAGGATACCCAGGTGGTGGGGGCCTGGGACCATGAGACTGGTGACAGCTAGGGCTGGGGGTGCAGAGTGAGGTCTTCTTCCAGGAGAGAACCAGACCAGACAGAAGAAATGAGGCAGAGAAGTCCCAGCGGGAGGCTAGGCGCGGCGCAGCTGCGGGGCCTGGGACGAGCCTGTCCAGCCTTCGCCCCGTGATTTCAGGGGCTGATGGCCGGTGGAAGCCTGAGCAGGCAGGACTGTAGGGACAGTGTCCAGGCTGCTGCCTCCTCTGACCACTCCGCGGAATGCTGACACAGCAGGAGAGGTCGTCGGGATGTCACGGAGGCACCTGCTGGAAACCCCGTCAGCGATCCCAGCAGCTTCCTTCTGCCGGCCCCCCTCTCAGCCCTGCTGTGGCTTCTGGAAAAGCTGATGGCTGTGTGCTGTGTGTCTGTCTGTGTCCGCCCCTGCAGGCAGCCTGCCCTACGAGTATAAGATTGTGATCGCAGGCAACCACGAGCTGACCTTCGACCAGGAGTTCATGGCCGACCTGATCAAGCAGGACTTCTACTACTTCCCATCTGTGTCGAAGCTGAAGCCGGAGAACTACGAGAACGTGCAGTCGCTGCTGACCAACTGCATCTACCTTCAGGACTCGGAGGTCACCGTGCGGGGCTTCCGGATCTACGGCTCCCCGTGGTGAGTGGGCCTGGGTGCCGGCCCCGCCTGCTGGAGAGACCAGAGCTGAGGCTGAGTGCAGGGGCTGTGGGGGATGCTAGAAGCAGCAGGAAGCCCGGGACGCGAGGCTCAGGACTGAATCTTGCCCCTCACCCTCTGTGTGAACCTAGGCAGGTCACTGCTGCTCTCCGGGCCTCCGTTTCCCCATATCTCACTGAAAATAGTAATATCAGCTGTATCCTGTGGTATGCTGGGAGACACTAGCTCACTTACAGGCAGGTACTATTAGCTGCATTTTACAGGTGAGGAAACTGAGGCTCAGAGTGGGCGAGGACGTTGCCAAAGGTCACACAGCTAGGAAGGGGCAGAGCTGGGATTAAACACAAGCAGTTTGCTTCCAGAACCCCTGCCTTGAATGAATATTCTACAGTGCTAGGAATCTTTCCCTAATGCTCTCTTCCCGCTCCATACAAAAAAGATGTATATGTCAGGGGCTGGGGGAGATGATGGTAATGACGATATTGGTGATGATGGTGATGATAACGGTGATGGTGGTGATGGTGATGATGATAGTATAGTCAGGCTGATGGTGGTAATAATGGGGATGGTGGTGATGGGGATGATGGTGGTGATGTGATGATGGTATAGTGATGATGTAATGATGGTAATGATGGTGGTGGTGGTGGTGATGGTGGTGATGGGGATGATGGTGGTGATGGGGATGTGATGGTGATGATGATGGTGATGGTGATGATGATGATGATGGTGAAGTGATGATGGTATAGTGATGATGTAATGATGGTAATGATGGTGGTGCTGGTGGTGGTGATGGTGGTGATGGGGATGATGGTGATGGGGATGATGGTGGTGATGGGGATGTGATGGTGATGATGATGGTGATGGTGATGATGATGATGATGGTGAAGTGATGATGGTATAGTGATGATGTAATGATGGTAATGATGGTGGTGGTGGTGGTGGTGATGGGGATGATGGTGATGGGGATGATGGTGGTGATCGGGATGTGATGGTGATGATGATGGTGATGGTGATGATGATGATGATGGTGAAGTGATGATTGTATAGTGATGATGTAATGATGGTAATGGTGGTGGTGGTGGTGGTGGTGATGGGGATGATGGTGATGGTGATGATGGTGATGATGTGGTAATGTGATGATGGTGATGGTGGTGATAATGGGGGTGATGATGGTGATGGTAATGATAAAGATGGTGATGTTGATGGTAGTGTGATCATAATAGTGAGGGTAGTGATGGTGATGGTGATGATGATGGTTGTGATGGTGGTGATGGTGGTGGTGGTGGTGGTGGAGATGGTGGTGATGTGATGATGATGATGGTTGTGATAGTAATATGGTGATGATGGTATGGTGATGATGGTGGTGGTGATGATGGTATGGTGATGATGGTGGTGATGGTGGTGTTGTGATGATGGTGGCGATGATGATGGTGATGGTGATGGTGGTGATGATCATGTTGTGGTGGTAATGATGGTGATGATGGTATGGTGATCATGATGGTGGTTGTGGTGATGATGATGATGGTGGTGATGATGATGGTGATGCGATGATGATGTTGATGGTGATGGTGATGATGGTGGTGATGGTGGTGATGGTGATGATGGTGGTGATGATGATGGTGGTGATGTGATGATGATGGTGATGTGATGATGATGTTGAGGGTGGTGGTGATGATGGTGATGGTGGTGATGGTGGTGATGGTGGTGATGTGATGATGATGGTAAGGGTGGTGGTGTGATCATAATGGTGAGGGTAGTGATGTGTGACTATGGGCAGGTGGCTCAGCCTCTCTGGCCCCTCTGTGTAGTGGGGAGATGACATCGCCTGCCTTGTAGGGGGGTTGCGAGGTCTCTGTGGGCCCATCCAGGGGAGGCTGCTTAAAGGAAGGCCCCGGAGAGTGGCTGCGGTCACTTATTATTACAGCGATGCTCCTCGGGGAGCCGGGAGGACAAACCTCAAGACAGGTCTAGGTCTACACTGACCTCGTTTTACAGAAAGGCAGGGAGGGGCCCAGGCAGGGATGTGGCTTGCTCAGGGCATCCTGGGTGTGGTCCTCCGGGCTTCTGGTCCTAGCTCTTTCTGCTTCAGGGCGGAGGCCATTCAGTGGCCTTTCTAAACGCCTCCTGTGCGCCAGGCCTCTGTTCTCAGAATAGCCTTCGAGTACACACAGGCCTTTTAGGCCCCATGAGGACATTGAGGGCTGGGGATTGAGCTGGTGTCCTCCTGCCCTCCGGAATGAACTTGTTACTTCAGTCATCAAGGGTGTGCGGAGTGCCAGGAGCCCCTGGGGACACGGTGTGGAGAGACAGACTCTATTGCTGCCTGCATGGAGTTTCCAGTCTCGTGGGAGACTGTCAACCACCAGTTCCATAGTCAGAAAGAGCCATGAAGGAGGGGCCTTGGGTGCTGGGGCGGGGGGAGGCTTCCTGTGGGGAGAGCCGGAGGCTAAAGAGATACAGGCAGCTAAGTGTGGGTGAAAGGCTGTGGCAGGCAGAGGGAACAGGCTGGGCAAAGGCCAGGAGGCTGGAGAGGGCCTGGGGCATTTTGGAGACCACAGAGCTGCATGTGGCTTCCAGGGACCTGGGTGGATGACAGCAGGAGGGCAGAGGCTGGGCAGCCAGGTCTCGTTAGGTGCCACCAGCACCTGGGTCCCTGGGTCCGTGGCCTTACCCCCATGTGCCCGCCCGGCTGCCGGGCGCCGGGACTTCTCAGGGCGGCCTTCTCCCTTGAGGGCGTCAGGTACCCTCCCAGAGCCCCGGGCTTCCCAGTAAGTGGGAAGATGACGTGAGGCGACCTGGGGAGCGCGGGGCTCTACCCTGCGAGAGTCTTTCGATGGAGAGGGACGCTCCATTGCTGTTATCCGCAGGGGATACTAGAAGCAACACGATTGGGAGAGGCACTAACCAGCCCCTCAAAAAGTATTCACGGCTGAAGAACCCCCAGCCCGGTTGCCGATCCTGTCTGGTGTCGAATGGGGTCTCTGTGGGGGTCGTGTGCCCCCTTGCCAACTGTCTGTTGGGGTTCAGGCTGGGGCCCCCTGCTCCTCTGGCACCAGCCGCCTGGGCACATGGTGGCTCATTCAGGAGGTGCAGGTGGCAGAGCTGCCTGTGGTCCTTGTGAAGTTCAGATGTTCTGGATTTTCCTTTTCAGTCCCCTCTGCCCTTCACATATTGGCTACCACAGGAGGCATCCCCAGCTTTAGAAGGACAGTTAGACCAGCAGGCAGGGAGCAGGGATGGAATAAACACTAGCAACGAGTGACCTAAGAGCTGCTGCGGGGGGACACGTGGGCAAGGCCGACCAGGTTGAGGGGCGGACCTGTTCACCATGTGGCCCTAGGAGGTAGAGGGCAGAGCAGGGGACAGAAGGAAGTGACAGGAGGTAGTCTCACCCATGCGGGAAGACTCCCCCGTAGACAGGAGCCCAGGGGAGAGGTGGTGTGGTCTTACAAGTACTGAGCTGCCCATCGCGAGGGGCATGCAAGCAGGGGGTCTGCTGTGGGTGGGCCTAGTGTCCTTCCAGCCCCTTCCCCCTTACAGGCTGACACGTCCCCTGCCTGTGGCTGGCAGTTCCCCTGTAAGCAGAGGGATACATGGGCCCATTCCCGGGAGGTCGTCTCTCTGCTAGACTTGGAGGCTAGCCTTGATATTGAGGGCTTTACATAGCAAGCTAGGAAGGGGAAGCGAAAAGCAAACATATGGTTATGGCAACTGGCTTTTCTCCTGTTACCACTAAGAGATAGTCTGCCTGGGAGATTTTCTTTTTCCCCGGAGTTGGGCTCTTGCTCTGTCGCCCAAGCTGGAGTCACAGCTCACTGCAGCCCGGACTGCACGGGCTCAAGTGATCCTCCCGTCTCAGACTCCCGAACAGCTGGGACCACAGGTAGGTACCACCACTCCCGGCTGATTTTTAACATTATTTGTAAAGATGGGATCTCATGATGTTGCTCAGACTGATTTCAAACTCCTGGGCTCAAGCAGTCCTCAGTGGGTCACACTGTAATGGTTGTGACTTCCTTGTCTGTGGAGCTGCACACCCTGAAGCCCACTGTGGTTCTTCGTGTGTCGGGCTCTGTGCTGGGCTTGGGAGACCCTGAAATGGATCAGGGCTGCCTCCCAGGAGCTCAGGTTTGACGAGGGCCTCTAACCATTGGGGGCGGGGCCTGTGACCACGTGCGTCCTGTGCTTACCCAGCCTTTGCATAAGCCAGACCCCTGCTCCGTGCTTGCTCACCTGTTCCCGTTTCAGTCCTTGCAGTGGGTTGATTCTCATGGCTGTGTGCTGGTGCAGTGTCTCTGGGTGGTTTTCATTTGCCTTTCCCTAAGGGCTAGTGAGGCCGAGAATCTTCTCCCATGTTGATTGGCCACTTAGACTTCCTCTTTTGGGAAGTACTCAAGTCTTTTGTCCATTAAAAACAATAATTGGGTTGTCTTTTTCTTACTTGTTCATGGAGGTGCTTCATGTATTCTGAATGTGGGTACGAGCCTTTTCTCAGTTGTGATGTTGTGAATAGCTTTTCCCCCTCTGTGACCTGCCTTTTTTCCCTCTTAGCAGAGCCTTGGAGGGAGAAGTTTTAAATTTTGGTGTGGTCAAATATCTTCATGTTTTTCTTTGTGATAAATGCTTTTGGTACCTTATTGCAGAGATCTTCATCTTCTGTCCTCCGAAATCATGAGGATTTGTTTCTTCTTTTTTTTTTTTTTTTCTTGAGATGGAGTCTCACTTTGTGGCCCAGCCTAGAGTGCAATGATGCGATCTTGGCTCACTGCAATCTCCGCCTGCTGGGTGCAGGTGATCCTTCCACCTCAACCTCCCAAGTAGCTGGGATTACAGGTACTTGTAGAGATGGGGTTTCACCATGTTGGCCAGGGTGGTCTTGAACTGCTGACTTCAAGTGATCCACCCTCATTAGCCTCCCAGAGTGCTGTGATTACAGGCACGAGCCACCTTGCCCCACCTTGTTTCTGTATTGTCTTCCAGAA